CGTTACATGAGCAAACACTGACAGCGAGTAAAAAAAAAAAAAAAAAGGAAGCATCTCTAAAACAGCATCAAAAAGTACATGTGCACACAAAAACACACAAAACCCAGAAAGTGTCTGTGCTCGGAGAGACAAACATGTGCACACACACACACACACACACACACACACACACACACACACAGAGGGGAGTGTGCAGTCTATTGACCAGTGTTTGTCACTTGCTATATATTTAGCTGGGAGCAAGTGAGAGGCTTCAAGTTGGCGGCGCTCGGGCTTTTCTAGCTGCGAGTGTCAGGCCAGCGAGTGTTCGCTCGACTTTGTCAATCCCCTGTCAACTTGTAGCTCTGAGACATATCCTCTGCAACGCACAAGAGACAGCAGCAGCCCCCCTCCACATACACAACCCCCCACCCCACCCCTCTGCCAAACTCCCAGTGCAGAGCCACCAGGAAATGGCTGCTACCGCTTCCCCCCCCCCCCCGACTCCTCACCACCCACCACCCACCACCCACCACCACCTCCACCCCATCTCCTGACAAAAGCCTGCTTGGCCTCTCCATCATTCCTCTGACAGCCCACGAGAAGACAGCTTGGCTGCCTCTCTCGCTTTCTCGCTGCACTCACAACATGTGGCCGGGGAAAATATTATAGCCAAGCGAGCAGAGCTGATGTTTGAAGGCTGATCGCGGGGCTCTCTCTCTCCTGAGGCCGATCAAATGTGGACTGAAGTGAGCGCTCTGTCAGCTCCAAAAATGTGATGTTGTGTTTTTTTAAAAGTAAGATCTACAAAAACGTATTTGATAAGAAGCTTTCTATAAACTGATAAGAATTATTGCTATGAATAAAATCACTTTTAGCGTCTCTAGCTTTTATACATCAATGTGTGAAAACTGTTCAAGTAGAGATTTCTCTCAATGTCCATCTCGAAATGAAGGAAACAAACAAATTTTTAAAAAAATGATCGGACCCCTTGTTGTACCTCTCTCTACCTCTAACTTCTAAGAAAAAATACAACAAGACGTGGCCTGAACTTTACATCAGGACAGCTCTGCCTTTACGTTTTTTTGATGTGGTATGAATGCAGCTGTGAGAGTAGAGATGTTTCTGCAGGTTTGAGGAAAATGTGTTTCTGAAACTTCATCCCCAAGACTCGACGTTAAACAACACATACCAGTGAATGAATGTAATGCTGCTGTACAGCGGTTGTGTAGATGTTTAAGTGTATTTTTTTTGGGGCCTTTTTGATTCTTTTTTTTTGTTTTTGTTTTTAGAAAGACAGCTACATTTTATTTCCCTTTTTTAAGTTATTTTTGGGCCTTTTGGCTTTTTTTTTAGAAAGGATAGGAAATGTTGGGTGGAGAGAGGAAGGACTGACCTGCAGCAAAGGGCTGAGGTTGGATTCAAATCCACGGCCGCTATAACGAGGACTAGAGCCTCTGTACATGGGGAATGCGACATAACCGCTAGGCCATCAGTTCTCTATATATTTTATTTCCTAACAGACACTTTGCCTGTGTCTCCTACTACAATATATATATTAACTAACTGTTTCAACTGTATATCAGAAAAAAAGAAAAGTATATGTGTTTAAATCAGGGCAATAGGAAGTGGATTTAAAAATTAGGAATGAATCATCAACATATTTGCAGATTTACGTTCTCTCATGTGACAAATTATTAAATGTTTTTTCGAGATGTGAAGTCGTACAAGTCGTGTGTCTGAGCTGTCTAAGTGAGAGGACGAATGCTGCAGCATGACATCTAACGGTCACGTTATGTTAGCACCATATTAAAGCTCCAATCTGATCACATAAACACAATGCTGCATTACAAACTATCTGAAAAAGATTTTATACAATATTTAAACAGACAGCTGTTAAAATGTGGGACGAAGCTCCCGCGTCCTCACACCGCTGAGAGCTAACACCAATCACTGCTCCTTCTGTCCTGCTGCATTGTGTTGACTTTTGTTTTTTCACTTACATGCATTATTTGAAAGCATGTTCTTTTAATTATCTGTGCTTACCTGAACCAGCACAAAGAATCTCTTCTTCCATCTTTTCCACACATTTTTGCCGATGGTCCAAAGGTACCTGAGGGATATAAAAAAAAAAACAACACACATTTAGTTAAAGGATACTGTGCAGTGAATTCTTAGTGTTTTACTTGACTGTCATGACGGGAGTCTGATGTGTCAGGTCAAATCTTCAGAAAGGAAACGTTTAGCTGCTGTGAAGTGCAACTACTGACCTCTCCTGGTGAAACAGTGTCACTGCAACCAGACACAGATTTATAAAACCTCTGAGCATGAGAGAACTCTCATTGTTCAGTTCTTGTATTTCATCTTACAGGAAGTTATTGGTGACAGCAGGAGACGCACTATACTGTGACTGATGTTACTAACGACGTCACTGTTCATGTTAAACCTTTAAAACTGTCGACTATGTGAAAGATCAGAATTGAGGGGAAAAGAAAAACAGATTCCTCCCAGAGAGGACGCTCAGCGCTGGACAAGATTGACTTTGCCTGTGTGTTCCAGATATCTGACAAAGGACAGCTGCTGATTGCCAACTTTATTTTACTTTAACAAAATGTTAAATGGACTTAATAAAAGATTGGTAGAATAAAGAACCATCAGTCCGCATTGAAAGTATTCAGTCTGGGCAGAAAGTAGAGTCTCTGCAGGCCCTTTTCTGCAGCTCACAGTTTGTCTTCTGGTCGTATTGATTATGATTCAGAACAAATAAAAAGCTTCTCTGGAAGCCTTGAGATACAGCCGATTAGTAATCTAGAGCTGCAACTGTCCCAAATTTGAAAAAAGGAAATCAAAAAGGTTTAAATAGGAGGACATCAAATCTGAAAGAATTCATGACAACGACAGAGAAATAAATCAGTTTTTTTTTTCTTTCTTGAGGCTTGTTGTTGTTGTTGTTGTTCTTTTGTCGATTTTGAAATGAAAAAACACGATGCAGACGGAGAAGGACGTGAAAAGGGCTTTTGTTGTAAAAGAACATCTGAGGGTGCAGGACCCCGCTTTGGTTTGTCTGCCGCTCCCGGGCCTGTAGCTGTTTTGTGACGCTTCGCCTCAGCTTTGCCTTCGCTGTGCCTTTCCCCGCAGACTCTCCCAGAGCGGCTTCTGCCTGTCGTCCTGAATAAACCGGCATCCACCAAGGCGACACATGAGGGAGGACTGGGACCAGTAACGTGGTACAGGGAGGGCAGCGAGGGGAATCTTACAGGGCAGCCCAGCAGCCTCCTCTAAGGCCCAGAAGAAACATATGGAGGAGAGAGAGAGAGAGACAAGAAGCTCCTCACAGCTACAGACTGCAGAGTCAATGAAGCAGGAAGTCCTTCACCGCCTACAGAACTGAACATGCAGCATTACTGTAGTCATGTAGATAATAGGTGCTGCTAAACTGCATGCTCTAATATAACCCTGCAGTATTGTAGTAGTAGTAGTTGTTTTAGCATCTTAGGCTGAGCATGAAGCCGTTGTAACACTGAAGTAACACCGAGCTTTCTCATCTGTTACATCAGTCCTGAAACTAGCCAAACACATATGAGAGCTTTTTTTGACCTTCCCATCATCTGGTCAACATTAAACATTCTGTAGAAGAAGTGAACACCGCCTCAGGATCACCACTAACATTTTGAAGATTCATGATCACATTTTGGTTGTTCTGATAAGAACACTGCGTTCTGTAAAAGAGTTTTCACACTTTCACAAAAAACTCCTGAAGCTGCATGTGTGAACGCAAACAGACACATTTTTCACTCTCACTTCATCCAGAGTTTCTCCTGCCAGCTCTCCTGTTTTTTTTTTCCACATGGAGTCTGAGTGAGCTTAAAGGCTTTATATGCAGTTTTTTTTGATCCAGCAGATGTCGCCCTTGAGCACCAGCATGAAACCAAAACAACTCGCACTGCATTGTTGTGTTAGCATGCTAATGCTAGCGATCTTTATTACGCTCGTCTCTTCACACTGCATGTAAATTTACCTGAAATGAGCGTGATCTAGAAACACAGTTAAGCAGTGAGTACATTATGTTATTCTTCTTTTCTCTAGTCCCTCAATTAAACAACTTTTATACACGAGGGGGAGGAGTCAGCCGGCCGTCCTGGCGATGTAAACAAACTGAAGATAGGACTCTGAAAACTCTGAAAACATCACAGACAGTCATGACTCAGAGTTATTTATATACTTGATTTCTATTATATGTTAGTGTGAAAAATCACATATAAAGCCTTTAAGTGAGAACGCAGCAGGATATAATCAGGAGAATTCACCACGAGCGAGCGGGTCGTGATGTTTATATCATGAAATCAGTGCACGACCATAGACTGTCTGCACTATGATCTCTGTGCGTTAATGAACCTGCTGCATTATGTTTCCTGTTCTCCATTATGTTCTTCTTCACTCGTTAGTTCATGTTGTGATTCTGCTAAAGACAAATATTATCTTTATGGTGGCGGACTCTGTTGCACCGACCGCACTTACCTGCGTTCTTTTTACATCATGTCCTCAGGTGACCCCCCCCACCCCCCCCACCCCCTCACCCGTCCGACAGGGATAGTCTCCCACTGAACATCCAGATCAGGAGGATTTCAGGAGCAGTCCTTCCATAATCCTCAAGACATTTTCAGGAGTACATGTGTGAAAACAAACTTCAGTTGAGAGGGTTTTTTTCTGCATGTGACACATATTCATGAGGAGGTCTAATCAGATTTTCTCTTAAATAGTGAAAACGTTTGTGTGTGTTTCTCAGGTTTGAGTGGTCCTTACATTGTCTGCTGAATTATTTTACACAAGTGGAAACTGAAATCGTTGTAGTTACAACATAGAACACAAGAGGGCAGCAGAGCTCTGCAGAGCAAAGCTTCAATGTAGAGCTCATTAATGTTAGAGACACTGATTGTTTGTATACGTCACCAGATTAGACACTTTAGGTCTGTATGTGAGAGGGCTCAAGATATGAACTAAGAACTAAACATCATGATACAACAACACTGAATATTTGGTTAACACCAGAGGGGGACAAAGTTCTTCATGACCAGAGGCGTTGCTTGTCAACAGGTAAGGCAGGCAACTGCTTGGGGCCCCAGGAAAGTGGTGGGCTGACAAACCTTAAATCCCCAGCAGTTCCTCAAAATGTGCAAATGTTGTAATGACAGTAGAAAACCTCCCTAAGGGGGCCCCATCTGATAGCACTCACTCTCTCTTCCCTGCTAGTTGTCTCATGCATTATTACTGTGAAATCCAAAGTTAGTCAATGAAAGTTACTGAAGGAAAATGAAGAGGAATGATCTGTGAGAGTGAAAAAAAGAAAGAGGAAGATAATAATGAACGCTGGATGAAGGGGCCTCCAATTAATTTTTTGCCTAGGGCCCCAACATACTCTAGAACCGTCACTGATCAGGACTCCTGGTCAAATATGACTCAAATACATGTGAACACTTTTCAGTCTTAACATTACCTGAGTTTAAAGAGGTCATATTCTGCCCTTTTTGGGGTTTGTATATTTAATCTATGTTCCTACTTTTGTACGTTCACAATAACTAAAGTTTGAATAAAGTGTCTGTTTTCATGAACTGCTCCTCCTTGCTCCCTCTACGCTCTGAGTCCGTCAGCTACACTCTGTTGAGCCCACACTGTTAGACCCCACGTGGGCCAAGTCTGCTCTGATTGGTCTGCCGATCCGCTCTGTCGTTATTGGTCAGTTGCTCAGCACGCTTCTCGGAAATTTCAACATGAGCTGCAGGGCCACAACGAGCCAATGGGCTTAGATCAGTGACATCACACTGACAATGACGTCACACTGACACATTTTTTTTCGAGGGGGGCTAGAACCGAGCGTTACATGCGGCTAACGCTACAGCTAACAGGAGGACGTAGGAGAAGCTGCGTTTCTGCGGACTTTGAATTTTTACACTTAGATGTGCCTAAACATGCACAGGACACTTAAAACACACTAAAGAGCAGATAAAACCAGAAAAAGAAGAATATGGGACCTTTAAGTTCTGCCTTAAATAATTCAAATATTCAAACTATTTTTTTTTTTGTTGTATTTTCAGTGCATGAGTGCAGTCAGGACTACATGGATCTACCTTCTACTACATTAGGTTTATTTATATTTTGTAAGATCACAGATTTAGGGATCTGCAGCTTTGAACTAAAAGTAACAATAACAGGAACAACCAAAAACAGCTGATGAGCAGGGAAAATGTCCGCCAGGCTTTACACCAAGAGAAAACATTCACATGTTTTAAACAGTCATTCAGTCGGTGCACGGCTTCTTGAGCTCTACCTGTGCACCTTTTTCTTACTCCTGGTGCAACACATAGAAAGCAAAAGGGATCTCTGTGACAACTTATTTATTCCACCACCCAGCATGGAGCAGCCCTCTCTCTCTTTCTGTCTCTCTCTGCCCCTCTTCAACCTCACCCTGAAAATCACAATAATCTATGAACACTTTAAAATAACGTCTCTTTATATTTACATTTTTGAACCACGATCCGGTTACATGTCCTTAAAAGGACTTCAAGACGTCGTCCAGCTGAGCACACTCCAAAACAATGTGTGGTAGCATGCAGAACAACTATGACTTTAGAAAAACAATGAAAATCTGATGAATCTGAATCTATTATCTTTTTCAGTCACTTACCCACAATGCTTCATGTTCTGTGGTTTGTCCATGCGGATGGCCAGTTTGATCCTGAGGTCGTTGTCTGAACACCCTTTGGAGACGGTCATCTTGTGGAGCTCCGATTGTTTGGGGCTGTTTGGAGTCGGGTGAAGAACAACCTGCGAGCAGTGACATCATCATGTTTGTTGTTGTTTGTTTTTTTAATCAGTGCAATAATAAAAGTGTTTCGGTCAAAGTGTCAACAGTCAGTCCTCACCTTCCCCAGCTCCTTATCCTCCAGAGCCAACACTCCCGTGCTCTCCGTAAACAGCTTCACCTTCACAGCAGGTAACGGCTGAGTGGTGGTGAAGTCGCCCTGGGTACCCCAACTACACACACACACACACACACACACACACACACACACACACACACACACACACACACACACACACACACAAGAAACAATAATGAGTCGTGGGCTTTAGTTTTTGTCACTCAGACTCCAGCTGAGCCAGAAACAAGAGGCTGAACTGAACCTTATGTAGCTGAGATATCTGAAATACACACACACACACACACACACACACACACACACACACACACACACACACACTACATGCAAACATACAGTGACCTTAAACTCAAACCATAACAGATGATCAAGAGTGAGACATCATCATAATGTTCTGTTTAGCAGATCTTTTCATGACATAAGAAAAAATAATGACGGCTGAAGGAGAGTCGCTTTATTTTATTGATAGTATTTATTGTGCATGTGTGTGTGCGTGTGTGTGTGTGTGTGTGTGTGTGTGTGTGTGTGTGTGTGTGTGGTTTTCTGTGTTTTTAGTTGTTCTCCTCTCTCTCTCTCTAACTACACTGTAAGGGGGGCGGCTGTGGCTCAGTGCTAGAGACGGTCGTCTCTCAACTGGAAGGTCAGGGTTTGATCCCCAGCTCCTGCAGCCACATGTCCGATGTGTCCTTGAGCAAGACTCTTAACCCCAAGTTGCTCCCTCTGCTTTGTCAGCGGTGTATGAATGTGATTAGTTTCATCTGATGGTCTCTTTACACAGCAGCTTCTACCATCAGTGTGTGAATGTTTATGGATGGGATTACTAGTAAAAAAAATACTTCCTGGAACGTCTGGGGCATTGAGCTGTCACTCAAAAATTCATTAGCCAATGGGGACGCATTCCTCAAAAAGCCCACCCACTCGAGAGGTTTGTGCCAGAATCGCAAACAAAAAGTCAGGCAGCAAAAACAAGAAAGCAAAAGTCTGATCAGTGAGAAAGAAAACAAAGAGGGAACTGTAAACAAAAGAACTGATGATAAGAAAAGCAGAAGGCCGATTATTTACACAATTACACAAATATTTTAATTTCAAGTATTTTTTTTTGCTTGCTTGATTATATCTCTCTCAAAGTCTTATTTTTGTTTGCAATTTCAGAAGTTTTGTTTGATTTTTTGGGCATAAATATGATTCCATAATGACTTACTATGGTCACTTTACATAGCAGGGTCTACCGTCAGTGTGTGAATAGATGTGACCTGTAGTGTCGTCAGAAAGAACCGCTGATCTGTAAGTGTGAAAAACTGAAGAGACCTAAAGGAAGCCACTCGTTCGGCATTTTTTTGATTCAGAAGAATAAAACTGATTTTGTAAAGTATTTCCCTCAGATAACTTCCAGACGTTTCCGACTACATTAAAGTCTTACTCATGAAGCCAGAAGAGACTCATCGTTTCAAACCGAAGGTGATAAAAGTCAAACGCTGCGTGTCAGGAAACCACTCTCAGACGTCACAGTTTCCAAAGATAATATTCAAACGAGGAGACTAAAAAAAGCTGCTCTAGACGACCTCTGGCTGCAGACATAGCAATCTCAATAACATGAATCAAACACCTCAGAGCTTTATTTTCCTCTCACTGTGCAGCTGTGAGTCATCTAATGAATCACTCTTTGTCTCCTTTTGAAGTCTTTACGAGTCTGCTGCTATTCTAGTGTCTGAAGGCTCGGTCTACAAATGATGCAAATGTTCGGCAAAGACTGTGAATCAGTTAGAAGGAGATCAGAAACACTCCACAGCATTTCCTTGACAACTAACAGACATTATGCACATTTATGATTACAGATCAAGATGGACGCAATGCAGGGTTCATTCATGTGACCTGTCCCTGTTTTGAAATAATATATACTCAAACCACTCCCTAGTGCAGACTCACTGTTGAAGGGTTTAAAAATCCTCTCTCACTCCACACTCTGAGGTTCAGGACGGGACTCAATGACCCTCCCTGTGAGCGTGCAAATGGAGAGGAAGGGTGAGGGTCTGGAGAGTGGTTTTAGAAACACTGTCCTTCAAAATGTAACACCCCGAGATGACCAATCAGGCTCCCTCATGTTGCACCTTTCCAAACTCAAATGGAAGAACACGTCAAGAAGGATTCAGTGACGTATACAGGATCAAGGCAAGAAGATGGACTTTGCTTTGCTTTATGTTACCTTTTTGTATCTGTGCACTGATTTTCTCTGCAATACTACAGTTTGTAAAATAGGAAACACTTGTGTTCAGAATCAGAATATCTTTAGTTGTTAATTTTGGTCAGTGCAAAGGGAAGCACTGAGCCGCTGCGTCCATTCACGCCTCCATCTTGTATGGCATAAACATGTAGAACCGCAAATGACATTTCAGGACAAAAACCCTTACACTTCACCATGACAATAAAAAGGAAACTTCTTTCCACACACACTGAATTAATCACATCAGAGATGATTTGATGCTCTGTTGTTAAATAAACATATAACAGCTGGTTGTGTTGTTAAGGTGGAAGGGATCGGTTTTCAGAAAGAGAGAGAGCTGCATCTTTTCGAGTGCTGCTTGTGTTTCATTTTTAACTCTTTTCAGTTTGTGTTCAGAGTTTTGAGACTTTAAACAGAAATGTGTTTTCTAACATTTGTGAAACATGAAAGAAAATGTAAAAATCAGAGATCCAATTAAATGTCCATGATGTGTAGAGGTTCATGCACTTTGCACGTCTGTTCTGTGTCACTTCAACACCACCACACATTTCTTGGTGATCTTACCCAGATAAGGAATTAAAAAAACAAACAATTTCAGCTCCAACTGCACTTTTGTTTAAATTAGACTTTCAGCACATTCAATTCAACAATGACTCTGCTCATGTTAAAGTCTGAGCATGAAAAACAAAACAAGGCAGAGCCTGTTGGTCTAACGTGTAATCACCCAGAGCGGAAGCTTTCTGGGAGGTTTGGAGGGAGTCGAGGTGCAAAGCTGTAAGTAACGTGCAGACGCACTGAGGAGAGCTGCAGCACGGGTTTGAAGGCTTATGGAACATAATCATAGAAAATGATCTTCACAACC